GGGAAAATGATCTAATCAAAGATCATGTGGTATCACAAGGGGCCCAATGTAGCCTAAGTGTGGGGATTAGTATCTAATCCCCACTCCTACCTAACCTAACCTAACCTATATGGGGGTGGCAGCCAGTCTTCGGCCCCCCTTTCGCTGGTATTTTCATAGCCGTTACTTTAATTTTCAATTCGAACTCAACGGGTCTGGCCTCTTAAACTGATGGAAATTTATTCCTCATTAATTTCTTTCAAGTCTGTATTTTTAATTGTCTATCACTGTGGAAGGCAGTCCATGTAGAGACGAAGCACACCAGGAGGGTTTGCAAAGCCGACTACTATATATACACGAAGGAATGAAAATCTACTGTAACCGTCGAGAGATATATCAATCGAAAGGTATTGCAAAAACTAAAAAAATTGCATACCAACATTTAAAAATAACAATTGGTGTGGGAGAAAGAGCGGTGAAGTGTAAAAGTTAAAATTTGGAAAATTGGATCTGTTGGGGCTGGTGGGGATAATTACCCCCCGCTATCAACCTAATTGTATTCTCAATTAAAATACGCGTCGAATGACACCTCAATTGTCAAAATCGTATGCTCCGCAAAACAAGATTTTTGGGGATTTTCTCAAAAAGAAAATTTTATTTTGTTTGTCAGTTTGTCCCAAAACGATATTTCATAGTCCTGAAAATTATAGACGATGTTAAACAGCTTAATATAAGAAACATTAGTTCTACCACATATAAATATCTAAATTTTTTACACCCGTAACTTGTGAACTACTAAAGCTACAGGCTTGTGCTATATGCGCCTTTCTACCATTATTTGCGTAATGCCACCAAATTATTGGCAAACGTTTTTTTTTTTGCTTAGAGTTTTTTTTTTGCTTTCTTTCTGATTCCTCAAAAACGGCTATAACGATTTCAATTTAATTTTTATAGTGTATAGCCCCTTGAGATTCATCAATTTTTAGTTTCTCGTTTCAAAGTTAATAATCAACAAAAATGCCACCTTTTATTTTTGGTATCCAAAGTCTATTTGAAGGTCCTGGAAATTTAGTTTGGCAGAAAAACAGCTACATATAGATACATTTAGTACACACGTAACTTGTAAACCACTTAAGCTACAGGTTTGTGCTATATATCGTAGAAAGGAATTTAGAAATACTTTGTACGCCTTTCGAAACGACTTTTATTCCTTCTCTGCGTTAAAAACTTCTGACGAAAACTAAAATGCACTTTTTTCAATCATCCGTTTACAAATGTGAAAAAATCTTTAAATGTGCGCTCCATAGAATTGCATGCGAAATCCCAACCTTTACAGTGGGAAAAAGGAAAAACTCTATTGTATTAGTTTTTAATTTAAACATGACTTCTGATCATGGTATTGAGGTACAACAATGTGAAAACTAACATGACTGTGGGCGGCAGTCCACTTTGTGACGAAGCTCACAATCAAAAGATATTGCGAAACCCAAAAGGATTGCATACAAAGACTGTACCAATTTTAATTCGTTTGGGAAAAAGATCGGTGAAAGTGTAAAAGCAAAATTCTGATGCTATTCAATATGCTTGGGTTTAGCTGTACGATTTTGATAAAGCGTGCCGAATGTAAAAAAAATAAGAAAGTGTATTTATTTAGTAGATCTTATAAAACATTTTCGTCACAAAAGTAGATATCAGAACTTTTGTTTGCTCTCATGCGATCGTCACTAGATTTTAAGAAGTTTTTGTTTGATTATTTATTCGGAAAAATTAAAGGGTGACATAGTTGCAAACTAAAATTTATATTACATAAATCGGTAAAGCGCAACTCGGGATGTAATTTAAAAAAGTCGGAAATGACTGCATTCCGCAACCCGTTTTTATACCCTTGCAGCGGGTATAGTGATTTCAGTCGGAAGTTACCAACGCAGACGTTTTCGACCCCATAAAGTATATATATTCTTGATCAGCAACACTATACGAGTCGATCTAGCCATGTCCGTCTGTCCCTCTGTCCGCCTGTCCGTTTCTGAGCAAACTAGTCTCTCAGTTTTAAAGTTATCGGGATGAAACCTTCCCAAGTGTCTTATTTCTATTGCAGGGATTGGACAACTATATCCTAATATATATGTATATATGTATCAAAAATGTAAAAATTATAACTTCTGTGTTTTTTACATATAAACTTCTACCCTTGGGAAAATTATTCTTTTAATATTGTATTGACAACTGTCAAAATAATACATAGACCGTTAAATTTCATTTTCGGTAAACATATGTGGTAGCTAATTTAAATGGAACATAATCCAAAAATTCTCTAATTAGTTTTTAGTTTTCTAAAAATGAGGAAAACCTCTGTACATACAATGGTCGCACGGGAACGATCTGCAATATTATACATATTCGTCGTTAAGAGGTGTTTTTGTTTGATATGTTATTCTTAAGTTCTTGAAAGTTGTTTGTGAATGTAAACTTTGTAGGGCGTAATATTTTAATTGTAGTTCTTTCCGTTGCTTTTCCCAACCTTTAATGTTTGATAACTTGATTAATCCCATGGCGAATAGTAAAACAATTATACAAAATGTTGATAATCAAACTAGTGGTTTAAACTTGGTTTATATTAAGGCTCAAAGCTTGGTCAAAAAACTGGATGAGCTTAGATATATGTTTGTAAATTCAAAATTGTACTGTATTTCGTGCGGATCGCAAGGTAATGGAGGGGGACTTGCAATATATGATGATGATAGTGTTCTTTTTTGTTGAAATTAACTGTTCAAAATACGATCGAAAAATTTTTGCTGATTGTGTTTTTCGTCCTTTCGCTCAGCTGCATATAATAATATAGTATATCAAACTTCAACCTTATCGCTTTCCTATACATACATTGTAATTATGGGCGAGTATAATATCAATGAACTTGGTGAAAGCCACCTAACCGATAATATAGAACCCTTAGCCCACGCCTAGTCAATTCGACTACACCAACGCATTCAAATCAGGACCATGCAAACTATAAAAGCTGTAATATTGGGATTAGACATGCAGATTCTAGAGATTCCTGCGCAGCGCAAGTTTGTTTTGTCAGGGTGCCACGCCGACTCTAATACTCACAAACCGCGCAAAACTGTGGCGCCCACAGTTTTGATGCGAGAAAAGCAAATTTAACTGCTAGGTATTGGTCTCGTCAATACCTATCGATATCCCAAAAAAAAGCAATGACGTTAGAGCCAGACAATTACAAATGTAATTATTCATGTGTGTGTAAATAGTTGCAGGCCGAACTGCGCGGCAAAGCGTAAAGCGCTGCCGCTGCTAAGAGAGCTAACTTAATCTATTGAATAATTAACAATTTCAGCAATTTGTCCTTTTTTCAGTACCGATTTTAGTTATCTAATTCCTATCAGGTTAATGTAAACTTTTATTTTTCCTGAAAAACAATGATTATGCCGCGGGAAGGGGGCTTCTCGCATTTTGCATTACCCCTCTCTCCATTCTGACCTGACATTCACATAAGCGAAAAATAAAGAGACGGAAGATCATTTCACCAGTGTTGAAAAGCACTAAAAGGCAGTAAAAGGACCGAAAATTTGTGTAAGGAACAGCGCTGTAAGTCTTTGTTTTACCAGGCACTCATGTGCCCAAAGAGTATTCCAATTTACCGCGGTCTTCCTAACGTTTTAACTTAACTTTTATCAATTTTCAATTTTAAAGCTGAGTAACGGGTATCTGATTGTCGAGACACTCAACTATAGCGTTTCGTCTTGTGACATCTTATGATGTCTATCTCAACAAGAAAGACCAAACATTTTCATATACTAACATATTCTTTTTATCTGACAAATTTAGTCGGTATGACAGGGCCCCAATATATAACTCTTAACTTTAACTTTTTTTTGCAGAGTGGAACAACAATTTCGAAGCCTAGTAAAAAACCTTGAATTACACACAACTTAAAATGTTAAAAAACAAAAAGATTAAAAAAAAACAAGGAAGAACGCTGTAGTTGATTACCTCGACTATCAGATACCCGTTACTCAGCTAAAGGGACCAAAGGGAAAAGGAGATATGCAAGCGAGATTGAACTGCGCCAGCTACCCGTGATCTCAATATATGGTTATATGGGCGGTAGACAGATTTATGCGTTATGGTCGTTCGAGTGGGCGTGGCAAACTTTTTTTGCATCAATCGATAGGTATTGACGAGACCAATACATTTCAGTTAAAATATTTTATCTAGTAAGAAAATTGTGGGCACCAGAGGTTTGGTTGGTTTGTGGGCGTAAGAGTGGGCGTGGCAATCTTTTTTTTTGGATCAATCAATAGGTATTGACGGGACATATACATTTCAGTTAAAGTTTTTTCTAGCACGAAAATTTTGGGCGCCACAGGCGTTGGAGGTTTGTGGGACGGGTATAATTAATGCCCAAAACAGCATAAAAAAAAGGAGTAAACACTTATTTATTTTTTTCGGCATATAAGAAAACGTGATCAATAAATTGGAGAATAAGAGCTATTTCCAATTCGTATGGCATAATCGACCGATTTTTTAAAATTTAATTTGAAAATCTGAATTATTACAAAAATGATATTCCTAAAGTTTAAAATTATATGTCAACTATATGTCAAACAACACCAAAGCTATAATAAAAACATTTTACTATTGTTCCGATTATTTCTATGGGAACTATAGGATATAGTTGTCCGATCTGTCTTGTTCCGACTTGTGTAGTACCTGCGATAGAAATTTGACTTTGTGGAAGTTTTCGAGCCTTAAAACTGAAAGACTAGTTTTCGTAGAGACGGACAGACGGACGGACAGACAGGCATACATGGCTAATTGACTTGCCTAGTGATGCTGATCAATAATATATATACTCTATCTGTCGGAGACGTCTCCTTCACTGCGTTTCAATTTTCGGACTGAAATCATTATACTTGCAAGGGTATACAAATGTGAAAGCAAAAACATGCTGTATATTCCTAATTTATAAAATTATTACAATCCTTTCTAATTGATTTGTTTAGATTGGACGCCTATACCCCCAAGCGGTTTATTTTCCGATTCGGACTTTATATTTGACTTTAAAAATCGAACAGCGGGAAAAACACAAAACCGCCGAACAAGCTGTCTATGCTGGGAAAATGTCATGCTCGGTAAGTACGCTCTCCTTTTAAATGCAAAATTGTGATGTAATATCCTCTATACTAATTGGCCATCGTTAGGCATTGGATTATATGCAAAACAGGATACTGATAATGGATACAATACATGAAGTTTCCTTCAGCAAGCCAAAGCTGTAGTAATACCCTTCCTTCTTAAGCCATATCATGCAATTTATGTTAAAGAAACCGTATATCCGGAGGATTAGTAAAAAAATATACCGATAGTTCTGTTGACAGATAAATTAAACGATAGCTTTAAAACTGAGATACTAGTTTACGTAGAAACGGACTTGTGATTCTGATCCAGAAAATATACACTTCAATGGGTCGGAAACGCTTCCTTCTACCTGTTACATACTGTTGATTGCAAAATTCCTGCAAGACTCTAAATGTACGGCAATGCTGCCTAGCTTAGGTTATTTGTTCCTTCTCTATCTTTCAGATAAAGCCACGATGAGAATAGTGATGAAAGTCCAAAATGACAATGCGATGGCATTGATATTTATGACAAAAATGTTTCACCGCCAAATTTATATGGGATAACCTAAAATAGATTCATCAGCCATCAGGTTCAATTCACAAGGTGAACGTCGCGGTCTCTTCGATTTGTTTAAAAAATTCTATTAAAAGATTGAACTTGTTGAAAGTGAACACTTATACGCAAACGGTCGTGGCACCGTGGTGAGTTAAAGAAATTTGGTCTTCAAAATCAAAGCAGTTGCAAGTGGGTGCACAGTAAGGTTTAGCCAAAACTTGCCAACTTTAACCAAAATAGTATGATTCAAAAGACGAAGAACGTTTCCAGTCTGTATCTGTGCGAGTTACAATCAAAATAATATGTAAAACTAACAAACATGTAAGACTTTTGGGACCTACACAGCAAAGCGATGGATCGTGGATTAACATTGGATTCCAGTAAAGCAGCCGATGCAAAATGCTTAACGTGCATGAAAAATAAGTAATGTGTTGGAAATTTTTGATAGTGACTTATGCGGGTCTGTGAAGAAAGATTCAAGAGGTGAAAAGAAATATTTACCTCAAAAAGCGATATGCTAATGTATATTTATTAAAACAGAAGTCTAAGGTGCTCAGTGTGTTTACAAAACATGTTATCGTGGTGGAGCGACAATTTGTTCTGAAAATTAAAACCATTACGAGTGATAATGGCACAGAGTACAAAATCTTATTGTCTCGTATACGCCCTAGCAAAATGGGGTGGCCGAAAGGTAAAACAGAACCTTGTTGTATACGGCACGCGCAATGCTGACCAGTGTCCGGGGTGGACATTTTTCATTTTTCTCCGAGTCAGTAGCCTGTGCAGAAAGTCTAAGGAATGGGTCTCTAACAAGCGCTACTAGGCAAGATTGGTAGCAAAAGGATGCAACCAAAAATTTGTATTTGAATACCAGAAAACATATTCTCCGGTTTTATGTTTTTCAACAACACGAATGGTGTTGGCTATGGAGCCGAATATAAACAACACTTGCATCATTTCTCTGGCTTTTAATATAAAATTCGGCCGATTGCTAGACTGTCATTGGAATTTTCTGTGTATTAATATACAAATATTCCAAATATATGGTTTCTGTTATATACGTATGATTTTAGTTCCATGATTTGGCCTAAGCTGCAAGCCAACTTCACCTTGCCGAAGTTAGCTACCTTTTTTGTTATTTATAGATCACGTAACAATTATACTTTACCAACATTTAAAAACTACCTTTTTTTATTTATAGATTACTTAGCAATTATACTTTACCAACACTTAAGAACTATTCAAAACAAGATAGGAAGCTAGCTTTGGCAAGCCGAAGTTTCTATACTCTTGCAGGTCGTTCAAGTGGGTTGATTGTATGTCAGAGCTTGTTGATTTTTAGAAAACTAAATACAAAAATTTTAAGGTAATGTTCCATTTCAATTTACAACCTTGTATTTTCAACAAAAACAAAATAAACAAGAAAGGAAGTTCTTCGGTAAGCCGAAGTTTGTATACCCTTGCAGTTATAATTATTAAATTTAAAAATTCAAAAAATGATATTCCCAATAATATAAGATAATATGTCAAGAAACACCAAAGCTATAATTTGTTTCATATTATTTTCCCACCAATTTTGCGATCGTTCCTATGGCTGCTATATGATATAGTCGTCTGATTTTGATAATATTAAATTCGAAATTCAGAACTAATTAAAAAATGTTATTTCCAAGCGTAGGAGGTTATATGATAAAAAACACCGAAGCCCACCAATTTTGCGATCGTTCCTATGGCAGCTATATGATACAGTACAGTCGTCCGATTTTGATAAAATTAAATTCGAAATTCAGAACTAATTAAAAATGTTGTTAAAAACAAAGTTACAATCTCCACAAACGTACTACAGCAATTCGTCTGCAATTTAGTTGTGGAGGTGACAAACACACGCACCGACAAACAAACAAAAGCGAAGTCTTTACAATTTACAAGTGGCGAAGCTCATTCCGTAGTTTTCAGATCCCCACTCACCAATGATGGCTTTCGCTTAGCGTGGAATATCCTAACTGAGTGTTTCGAAAATAAGCGATTGCAGGTGAACAGTCACCTGAAAACACTTTTCAATGTGCAATCCATAGCACAGGAGTCGGGAGCAGCCTTAAAGGAACTTCAACGCACTTTTCAAGTTTGTTTAACTTTCATAAAATTTTTCGGTGTTAATATTGAGAATTGGGACCCTATCCTGGTTTATATGTGCTCATTATGGGAGCAATCCATCCAAAATAAAGCCGAAATACCTACGTGGCTTGAGCTTGATTCCTATTTGACGGAGCGCCATCGAACTCTTGAGGCCGTCGATAGCTTCCGATCTGCCAATTTCCACCACGTCCAGTGCAAAGACACAAATCGAGTGGCAGAATTTCCAAAAATAAATTCCTTCAACACAATGCTAGTTCCGATACCCAAAGGCTGTGACCGAAGAAGAACCACCCCACGCTTCCTACAAATGACGGTAGACGATCGCCTAGCCTGTATTCAAAGGAAGCAGTTGTGCTTTAATTGCTTTGCAAGCAGCCATCAATTCCGGGATTGCACAAGCGCTCACAGCTGTCTCACTTGCCAAGATCGGCATCACACATTGCTGCATCGAAACAGCGGCCCTACTACTCCGCCGATTCCATCCGGCCCTCCAAGGCCAGTATCCGCCTCAGTTCCACACATCATTTCGTCCTATTCAGCGCAAGTTTCCGTACAAAAAGTCCCTCCTAAGAATACTCCAATATTGGGTTCCATACCCCGCCTTGGATGGCAGACGTACTCGAGGTATTAAATCCAAGCAATGCCGAGTCTGCCAAAAGATCCATCCTCTACGGAAGTGCCACCTCTTTCTATGGCTAAGCCCCCAGAATCGGCTCCAGGAAATGCATATCCAGAAGTACTGCTCCAATTGCTTGGCTCACAATCATTCCAAGGACTCCTGCCGCAGTGATCATCACTGCCACAAGTGTGGAAAGGCCCACCATACTCTCCTACACATGGACGACCGATCTTGACTTCCAATATATTCCTGAGCCTACTATCCTGAGGTTCTTGCTACGGGTGTCCTCGCAAGGGGGGGGGGGGGGAGAATGTTTACGTCAAAAGGACGTTTAATTTCAGGAGGCAGTGTCGAGCGGCAGTTTTATCCAGATGTCTACACCTCGCGCGCTCGCGCTGCCGTCCGCTTTCCCTTTTCATCTCTCCCCTAAGTCTCCGCTCTGCTCTGACGCGCTTAAGTTAAGTTAGGCTTAAGCAGTTATTATTTCAAACTGTACTAATAAACATGCACGTCGCGCAAAAAATTCCAAAGTACCCCGGTTTTTTTTGCGTACCGTTCGATCTTGGGGCTTCATCTATTTCAATGATCAAGCCACTCCGCCCCAACACGATTGAATATTCCTAATCTTGCTAACTGCATTCCCATTTCCAAGTCTTCAATTTATTCTGCGAAATGTTTTAAATTAAAAAACAATATTTCAGGAATTTTTTCGATTTCGTTGTATTCGAGATGCTTGTTTATTATATCGATGCCTTTGTTACATGTTTTGAGCTATTACATTGATTTTTCCTTCTAATTCTTCTTTATCATTATAATCTAATTTTCCAAAAAGATATTTGTAAGCTGTTCCTACAAAATTAGCTAATCCTCTTTTGTTTTTCCTAATAATTTTTAACCCATTCATTTCTCTTTGTAGTTTTTCCGTTAAATATTTAATCTGCATTATTTCCTTAAGGCCAAACGCTTGTGATAGCAAGTTTTTGTAAGTTTCTTCCGTTTTCGTAATATTAATTGTGAGGCAATGGTATGAATTATGGGAGCCTTTCTAAATTTCGAAACGCTCAGTTAGGTTAGGCCAAACGGAGCGAAAGCCATCGTTAGTAAGAGGGCAGTTCGAAACTGCATCGCCACTTGTTTTTGCATTCAGGTGAAACAGTTCTTCGACTGGCGTCAGCCCTGGATTGTTTATATAAATGGCCGTAAACAGATCCCTAAAGGTCGGCCACCGCATATAATCTCCGGTAAAAACCTCCGTGTCGCACGGAGGCAGCCGACTGCCAGAGGAAATGTAGGTCTGGGAAGGAACAGCTTGAACTTGGGGAGCTTGGACTATCATATCCGCGATCTGAGCCCCACGTCTCACGTAAACGGAATAGCAGTAGCCGTATTTAGCTTTGAGAATTGTGAATCCGCCTCGCGGCGTATGTTAAGCATCGAAAGAGTTGGAGGGACCGGCGAAGGAGTGTTTGCCCTGGATTCAAATTCACTCAGTCGGTCTGAGACCTCATTAAATTTTTTAGAGCAGTTTGGGAAGCTGTTAGTGCCATTTTGACGGCTGTCCGTGTGACCCTTTTTCGGGGCGATGAAGTCTTAGCGCTTAGTTCGGGTGTGGGTTGATCTACGGTATGCCTGCGACTACTGCAGGTGGAATAGACATTTGTTGTTCTCACTTCCAACAGACATGCCATACAAATTTCCTTT